CTACCACGTTTCCCGTGGTGTGTTAGGGACTCTGGGAGTCCAGGGACATGGCTTTTGCTGTCCCGGTGCTTGTAGTCAAGGAGCACAAAATAATTATCACTACTCAAGTGTACTGTATTACTGAATATGACTAACTGCAAAATTTTACTGAGCACCGATTATTATTAGTTCACCAGATAAAGCAGGAAACATACAACTGAATCAAGTCCATCTGGTGATCTAACAATATTTCACAGAGACATGAAAATATGTGGAGAGAATAAGGGCAAGGTTGATTTTAGGGAAGAAGCTTCAGAAAGCATTTCAGAAATGGTAATACTCGTCTGGCAAATGATTGAACGAAACAGAGCATGACTGAAACTCACACAGCAAAGCTGGTTGGTTGAAAAGTACCCTCTTTTGTATAGCAACAGCCTTGGGGAAAATATTTGAAAGGTTTCACAAAATATACCTTTTTGCTAACTCGGTGCGCACACTCACATATGGAAGACAGGAGGATGGAAATAGAGGTCGTTTCTCTGAACTGTTTACAGAAGTCGGATTCTATTATGACAAGCACATTATAACAAATGTCTATTGAAAAGTCTTGGGGGAGGGAAGGATTACAGAAGGGTGATGGATATGTTTGTTATCCTGATTGTGGTAATGGTTTTACAGGTATATGCGAAAGTCAAAACTCATCAAATTGTAAATATTGAGTATTTGCAGTTAATTGGACATCAGTTATATCTCAATAAAGCTGTGAACAAGTTGCCTACACTCTTGCTATCCAAATGCGGTCTGTAGACAGCAGCAGCAACCCAGAAATCTTATTAGTAATGCAGACTCTTAGGAGACCTGACTCCCTTCTGTGTTGGAATCTGCAGTTTAACAAGACCCTCAGGTGATTCTCATGCACGTTCAAGTCTGACCGCTTATTACAGTGAACATCTGGAACTCATTTCCCACAATGAGTTGTTAAAGGAAAGTTATATTCCCTAATCTTCTTTAGGTCACTAAAAGCAACTACCTACATGACATTCCTTGATGGCTCTATTAGGAAGAGGTTTAAATGTTTGATCTAGAGGATGTGCAGGTTTTTCAAGAATATTCAATATGCTAAATTCCAAACAATCAAAAAATATCAACAATGATTAGTTTATCATACTTGACCCATCCATCTTCCTAGGTATATTCTATAGGTTTTAATATTTATACTGTTTGATGAATAAATGAAAAGCAAAAGGATATATTGGAGTATATGAGGAAGCCATTTGGTTTAAAACTAATTTGGCCTGAACTTGTTTTTCTAGAAAGGCCTGACGTGGCCTGTTGAGCATGCATTGTACATCTGCTTTAAACATTTATAATGTCCCAAAGCCAAGAATGATGTCCTTAAAGATAGGGATGCTGCCTCCCCCATGTCAGCATTTCTTTAAGGATAAGCGTTTCTTCCCAGAAACTAAGGATTAATTACTGACCTGCTGCCCCCTGACTTGCTGTGCCAGCAAAACATCTTGTGACTGTAATAAAAGAGATATTCCTGTCATGTGTGATGTATGTTCTTTGTTCCAAGATGGTACATAACCACTCTGTACACTTCACTTCTTCAGAGAGCTTCCTTCCTCCGTGGAAAATTCACCCTGGGCTATAGTCTTCAAATTGGCTTGTGTAATAAACTCACCCCAATTTCGAGTTATAGGTTGATTATGGATTATTTGTGCCGACATTGTCTTTAAAAATGTTTTTTTCTGATTACAAAAGAAATACTTTTTGTAGAAAACTTGGAAAACAGAATCTAAAATCCCATGAAGTAGAGTTATATTTACCCATCTCGTCACCACCGTCAAAAGTTATTGAGTACTAAAGGTACACTGTGCTAGACCCAATAAGGTAATATATTTATGATTTCTTGGAGGTTAGGTCTTATTATATGCATATTTTTAAGTACTTAAAGCTAAATCTAAAGATCCAAGCTAGAGCCGGCCCCATGGCTTAGCGGTTAAGTGCTCGCACTCCGCTGCTGGCAGCCCGGGGTTCGGATCCTGGGCGTGCACCGACGCACCTCTTCTCCGGCCATGCTGAGGCCGTGTCCCACATACAGCAACTAGAAGGATGTGCAACTATGACATACAACTATCTACTGGGGCTTTGGGGGAAAAAAATAAATAAATAAAAATTAAAAAAAAAAAAAAGATCCAAGCTAAGTGGAAAAACCACCGGGTTTGGAGTAGGGGAATTAGTTGTGAGTCCCCTCCAACTAGAAGTGGGTTTACCATGAATGAATGAAGCTTAAGCTTCAGGCCCCTCCCTTACACAGGCCCCTTCCAAGGCCCTTGGAGGAGTCCTAGCAGTATATCCACCTGGTCAAATGTTTCTGTGAAAGTTTCTAAAGTAAGATATTTAAGACCACTGTCTCTTTGCATTTTGACTTCCTTCCATCACATCTCCTCTGCATTAGATGGCATAGGAATGGACATGGGCTTTTTTGGGATCTGGCTAAGGGGACAATGATTGAATAAGGAATACATTTAATTTGGGTTTAGTGGCATGCATTTATGTGGTTTGCAGTCACTTCCGCATGCTGTTAAATTATTGCTCACCGTGGGTGTAGGAATGGCTTTCTGGAATACACCTACTGCCCATTATGCCAACTCAGCCAGCACCATGTCACAAAGGTGCAGGGCCAGAGGGCAAAGGAGCTCTGTGATGCCTGGCACGGGAAATACATGGGTAGTGGAGGAGAAAAAAGATTTAAAAGAAAAGGAGAAACTAGTCCCTAGAAAATCCTTCCGACTATCAGAAGTAAAATATTATAAGTGCAGGGATCGGTTTTCTCAATGCCTAATCTAAAATGCCTAACCTAAAATGGAAGTTCTCACGCATCAGAAATCTACTAAGTAATGTAATATACACATTCATAAATGCACTATACTTTTTGTTTTTTTTTTTAATTTTATTTATTATATTTTCTTCCCCCAAAGCCCCAGTAGATAGTTGTATGTCATAGCTGCACATCCTTCTAGTTGCTGTATGTGGGACGCGGCCTCAGCATGGCCAGACAAGCGGTGCATCGGTGCGCGCCCGGGATCTGAACCCGGTCCGCCAGTAGCAGAGCGCACACACTTAACTGCTAAGCCATGGGGCAGGCCTTACTTTTGTTTTTTTTTTTAATTATTTTTTTTGGTGAGGAAGATCAGCCCTGAGCTAACATCTGATGCCAATCCTCCTCTTTTTTGCTGAGGAAGATTGGCCCTGGGCTCACATCCATGCCCATCTTCCTCTACTTTATATGGGAAGCCACCACAGCATGGCTTGACAAGTGGCACACATGCACTGCACATGTAAGGATCTGAAACTGAGAACCTTGGCTCTGAAGCTGAGCACGGGCACTTAACCGCTGCACCACCGTGCTGGGCCTCACTATACTTTTGTTTTTATGTGAATCATGCAAAATGAAATATATTAGAATATGGGACACACAGTTGTGGTTGCACTACAGTGAGTCTGTCTGTATGTGAAGTCACAATTTGTTCATCTTAATGGATCAGATCCTGTCATAACGTAGCAGACAAATCTTGTTGGGAAAAACGCTGGGGATCCAGTAAAAACCACACACAAAATTGCCATTGAAGCAGCCAAACAGCCCTGAAATATTATAGCTCAGATGTGAGAAAAACTTTATACAGGTTTTCCCAAATTTGACAATAATCCTAAAAAAGTACACACCAATCTTAGTAAGAAGTTGTGAAGGTGAAACTTATAAACAATAAAAAAAACAAATTTTGACCACCATGCTAAAAAAAAGACTGATCTATTTCCTTTATAGAGAATATTACAAAAATTATCATAGGAAAAGGTGATCACAAGTATGCAGTCAAAAAATATGTGAAAAATGATCATAAATGGTGCCCATCAAGTCTAGAAACTCAGGTGAATACACACAGTGTCGTCAAGGGCATTTTCAATCTCAAAGAAAACAAAATAATTATGTTTCTGGACTTTCGCACACCCTGTAGAAGTGTGTCAGGCAGGTAAAAATGTTATCTTTACGCGTGTGACGTTTGTGAATTTTGTTAACTTTTCCAAATGGCATTTGTGATTTCTTTCTCATTCTAGATACATATTCACTTGCCTACCCAACTTTCTGCTCGTAATTTTTTGTATATTTTTCTTAACGAGGCCCCCACAAATTGCACGAGCTTCAGTTTCTGCAAAACGAGGCTCTGCCGGATGACAATCTCAGAGAAGCCACTGAATTTCTCTGCAGCCTCAGTTTCCCCTTTGGAAAAAAAAAAAA